AATAATTGTTTATTCCAATGATTAAATTCCTCTTATCTCAGCAAGTCTCCTCACCTTTACCCCTCCAATTCTCTCCCCTGTTCCCTGGGTTGGGGGGGGAGAACAGGGGGGTGCGAGCAGCTGTGTGTTGTTTGACTGCCAGCCAAGTTAAACTCCTACATCCAGCCAGCTGCATTGGGACCTGCAGATGCCTCTGTCCCTCTCCCACGACACTTGTCAAGGGTGACAGAGAGGCTGAGGCTGCCATACAGAGGCACTTACATTTTTCTCCTACTTGATAAAGTGAAAGCGGTATGAACCAGCTCACCTTCACCCACCTCTTAGCTCTCCAATTCCCACCTCCATCCATCCAGCTCCCACCATCTCTGCTGTCCCCAGACTGTAGATCTCACCCAACTCCCGCTTCCCCACTTTGTTTTCTTCTTTCAGTTGCTTGATGTGCTTTCTCTTGAACATGAGCACCTGAGCTGAGGGTTTGGGATGTCTTCTGGTGCAGACAGTTCATCCCAGCTCTCTAAACCTCAGTATCCTGGGAGCAGATTCTGCAGCTTGTCCAGGACCAGGGAGCTCTTATTCAATCAGCTCCCTGAATTTTCCAGCAGTATCTCTGCTGGTAACACCCAGACTGTGTGGGCTTTAGTAATTCAGCTGGAGAATGGAACATAAAATCATAGAATCATCGCAGAACCCCAGACTGGTTTAGGTTGGAAGGGACCTGAAAGCTCATCCAGTTCCAACCCCCCTGCCATCCCCAGGGACACCTTCCACTAGACCAGGTTGCTCAAAGCCTCACCCAACCTGGCCTTCAACACTTCCAGGGAGGAGCAGCCACAGCTTCTCTGGCCAACCTGGGACACTGTCTCACCACCCTCACAGCCAAGAATTTCTTCCTCACATCTCAGCTCCATCTCCCCTCTTCCATGTCCTCACAGCAGAGCTGCTCCAGCCCTGGCATCATCCTGGTGGCCTCCTCTGCACTGGCTCCAGTAGCTCCATGTCCTTGTGCTGTTGGTGGCCCCAGAACTGGGGTTGCAGCCCAGGATACTGTTGGAGATTGTATCATTGTATTTTTGACATCTCATTTGCCTTGGGCCTGAGCCACAGGAGATGGCTCTGCCTGCAGAAACCATCCTGACAGGGTACGAGCAACTGGTGCAGAGTACTTTAAGGGTATGAATTCCTTGGAATCAGAAAACCTTCTTGGCTCCTCCACTCAGCGGTTAATTATGACTGATAATAATAATTGATGTGTTCAGAGCAGTAGATTGCAGGGTTAGCTTATTGTGCACACTCGGCTCTTTTGAAGGAGGTCATTAGTAAATCAAAGTGGCTTGGACCTCCTAAGTCCATGATAGTTCTACTAAAGCCAACTAAAATCAAACCTAAAATATTAATCAAATTAGAAGGCCAGCGAGGTTTGTGACAGAAGTTAATTTTCATAAGTGAGGGATCAAAATCTTTGGTAAATCTGGTGCTGACAGAGGGTGTTTTATTGTGCTGGTGATGTGTACGGGCCTTCAAACTGACAGAAGGTGACAGAGGGTAGAGGCTGATGACAGCCCCAGCCTCATAACCAGGAGGAAGATATTTATGAGGGATGAGTCAAAGTAGTCATCTCCCATGCTCCCAGACGTCTGTGTTTAGGCTGGTGCCAGCTTGCTTGGGGTCTGTCCAGTCTGTCCAACATGAAAAGGCTCAGAAGTCCCCTGGGTTTGGGTGCTGGCTGTGACGAGTGTCCTGCAGGCTCCAGCCCTTCACAAGAGGATGGAGACGGTAATCGTGACAGCAAAACTTCTCCTTAGACTGATGAGTCACTGCTGGTTTCCAGCTTTCTATGCATTATTATTTTTTCTCTTCTCTGCCTCCTCAGTTCTTTCCTTGGTGCAAAAATGGGGCTGAGTGACTGGGAGCAGAGAAAAGGAGCAGAGGAAAGAGCAGGAGAGAGGGACTGGAGAACAACTCCCATCCCTTCTGGTTACGGTAGTCGCTGGACCAGCTCGGCTGCCCAAAGGGAATTAATTCCCTGGGACTCCTTAGGAGGAATCTGACTGCAAGATTTTCTCACTTACCTTGGAGTGCATTGAGTCAGGGTGTCCCATCCCACGTGTACTGCGCTCTACAATCATGGTCACGGGCAAGTCGAGTAAGAATTTGTAAGTTGTCGAGCTGCCGTAACCAGATCTCACACCTAAGTCTTGAGATTGGCTGAGGAGGGTAAGCTGTGTATCAGTGGACTTCACTGAAATACATTCTCATACAACCATTTTCTTCTAAAACACGATTTATAGTTATTTATTTAAAACAAAGATTGTAAGATACGAGATGCTTTTGAAAACTGAAGGGGAAAAAAACAGATTGTGGACATGCTTCATTTTCAACCAGTGACTTCTGCTGTCACAAGTAGAAGAGACCTCACACAACCTCACCCAATCATTTTGATATTTATTTTTTTACCAAGAAGAGATTGAAATTAATTGTCCAGATCTCATTGGTACTTCATGGCTGACAAAGCTTAGGTTTATTTTAAAACCTTAATTGCACAGACAAATGTGAAGCAGCTCCTGGTACACACAAGCATAAACCAGCTGCAGAACATCACGACTGACCATATGGCTGCAAAATTCGTTGCAGAATATCCTTAGATGCACTTCAGTCACTAAACCATCATCTTTGCATTTTGGGTATTGATCGAGTAGGGTAGCTGAACTCTCTCCTCTTCTCCTTTCTTTTTTAAAAATTATTTTTACATCAGAACTTTTATTTATAGCGGTCTAAATTCAGAGATCGAGAGAAAATGCATTATGACTTATTTCCCAAATGACTAAGTGAGTATTTTTCTTCATCATTAAGCTACAAGGTTTAGCTAAACTTGTGTGGTGAAAGGGTACTTCTTATAGCATTGAGAGCATAAAAAAATACGTCATTCAGGTTAAACTAAGATATAAACCAAACTTCATTGTCTGGGGAACATGCAAACCCAGATCTCTGCAGTAATTAAATTTCTGTCTTTTTACAAAAAAAAAAAGGAAAAAAAAAAGAAAAAGAAAAGTGAATGGTTTCTAGTTTCCCTAAAACTCCAGATTGTGCCTGTCTAAATTGAGCTTCACTCTGTACCTGCCAGTTTCAGATCCTTGCAACATCCTTCCTCTCTTCTATATTTACATGCAGTTTCACTGAGCATGTTTGAACCCCTGGGTTATTCCCTTGGGTTTCAGCAGGCGGATGGGGAGGGGATAACTGTAAAAAAACCATTAACATTTCATCCTCTTTCCAGTGGGTATGTGTGAATAATAGAAAACCAAGCAGGAGCATTGCTGTGCTTGGCACCAGCTCTCCTGCCAGAGTGTGTTCCCAGGGATATTCTGCATGAGCATCACTGCACCCACCGGGGTGTTTTTGAAGGTGGTCACTGGGTGTGCTCATTTTGTCTTGCCAAAACGAAATAGGAAGAGCTTAAAATAAGGATTGCAAGGATAACATATTATAGAAGTATCCCAAAAGTCTCTGAAAATAAATCCAGGTCCTTCAGCTCTACAGGTTTTGCCTGATAGCTGCAAAAGTGTCGTTTACGTCACCAAGACCGTTGATGGAGCAATACCAAATGTTACCCTGTGTTGTTACCAGAGGCATTGCAGGGATGCATAGGCAATGCAGGGGAGCATCAAAGGCCCTGGTACAGTCAACAGTCTGAATGGATGGGGCTGAGACTGGTCCCACTGTGGACAACAACACCTGCATCCCTTGGCTTGCTCACCATGAAGAGTCGTGTAGACACAGTGCTGAGGGACATGGGTTAGTTGGGGACTTGTCAGTGTTGGGTTCATGATGGGACTCCATGATCTCAAAGGGCTTTTCCAATCCAGGCAATTCTGGGATTCTGTGACCATGACTGGTGTGACACCAGCTTTTTTGGTGTTCACAGGAGAGACTTTTCCACACCTCCTCACCCTGGAGACAGGACTCGTGTGCTGGAAGAGCGTTTAGCGGTTATCCAGCCAGGAGAGGACCACGGCTTTCCTCCTCCATCAAGCTTTCCAAATCAAAGACGACCTCATCTCCTACCTCCAGGGAAGCAAAGGTTATCAGCATGGGGAGAGCTCTGCCCGGAGGCTGCTGGAAAACCACATCCAGACCATTACCAGCATCGTTAAAAAGCTCAGCCAGGACATTGAGGTAATAAAACCAAGGAGCATTTCCCTGTTCAGTGGTGCAACTCTAGACCGTGGTCCACTAAACACTAATATTGGCTTCAGGAGTGGAAAAATACTCAACAAGAATACTATAATTTAGTAAAATTCTTATTTTTCTTGTGTAGTGGCACTTGCAGCTGCTTGTGAAAACAGAAGGGAGTAGACAAAGGAAAGTAAATAAGTTAAAAAAAGAAAAGTACAACGAAATAAAAAGCAGATTAATGGTTTTAGGGGTTGTTTTAATTCAAAGGGTGAGATTCTATTTATTTTCAGCTTTGTTGGAGTGCAGGAGATTGAACTCAAGGGAAATAAGGAGAAAGCTGTATTTTCATCTAATGTATAACATCGAGACTCAAGTTTGGGTTTACTTCTTAGTTTTCCTGGTGAGATGTTCTATGAGCCTCCACATAATGTCTGCATGCAAACTTAACCAAATATTGCTGAAACTCACCACAAAGCTCAGTGCAGACTGGAATGGAGGTTCAGTTTTGCATTTTATTTAAACTGACTGATGATTCTGTGCTGGAAATGCATGGAATGCCCTTTTTCTAGCTAAAGACCTGTGATTATTTGCTGTTGTTTTTCAAATTTGTATGTGAAATTTACCAACACCATCTGGCTTTTCTTTTTTTTTTTGGACAAAGGTATAAAACACAAAAAATATCATGAAATAAACTTCTCCAGAGATTTGTTTTGTCCTCTTAAGTGTTAAATGTCCTAAAAATGCCACTAAATTCAGAATACATTTTGTTTTTCATTAACTTGGAGAAATATTTGATCTTCTATACATTTATCTCAAGAAGTACGCAATCGTGACTGACCTGAAATTGATCTGAATTAGAAATAGGGTCTGTGTTGATTTCGAGATAATTTTATTTTTGATATTTTGTTATTATAGTGATAAGCAATACTATAAAACCAATTACTTATTTCAGATCATCCAATTCCTCTAACCCTATCCAGTTCAAGTATGTGCAGGAGTGTTTTGCTAGAAAAACCCTTAAGATGCTATCAGCATCTAAATCAAACCTTTTTCCTTTATTATCAAATACTCTTCTCTAGGTGTGTTTGCTTGGTGTATTTTGGTGGTGTTATTTATTATGGGCTGCACTGTACTGAGGAGGTTTTGAGAGGGAAAATAAAATTAATTTCTCAATTTTTACATTTCCTAATTTTTGCCTGCTAGTCTTTTCAACATAAAGCACATTTTTTAAAGATAAAAGCAAACATATTATTTATGCAGATATTGATTTTTTGAAAGAAAATTACAGTTACTTTCTCCAAGATAGAAAAAGAAGCTTCTAGACCTACTGCCATAAATTGAAATCTATTTTGAAATGAAAAAAAAAAAAAAACCAAACCAACAAACAAAAAACGAAACCCAAAGCAGAAAAGTGCATTAATGATTTTGAATTTACAGGTTTTGGAGAGGCAGATAAGAGCAAGAGATGGTGCCACAGTAGAAACTAATTTTGCTGTTCGAAGTCTGGACCATAAATACATCCATGGTCTTGGAGACCTGCGTGGGAGAGTGGCAAGGTAAGGATTGCACAGTGGCCCTAATTTTTATCTCTGCCAGTCGATTTATGCACAGCAGATTCAGAGTGGGCAGAAATGTATTTTACACTCATTTTATATCTCTATTTTAGTGCCAGATCTGTGCTTCCCACTCTCCATGTTAGAAAAATTATCATGTCAGGGAAAAATAAAGATATTTTCCTCTCTCATTCTCCATCACACACTTTTAACATTTTTTGAGAATTTTTTTCTTCTCCAGTCAGGCTAGACTTCAGCTGAAGTGGTTGTTCCCTCCTACTTAGGCTCTCCTAAATAAATGGTTTCAATAAAATCTTTACTTTTGTCTCTTGGAAAGCAGATCTTGTTGAACAAACTTGATTTCTTCTTTTGGTGAGATTATAAGTTTTCATTGGTACAGGTAATTTCATGTACATAACACAGGTGGACTTCTGTGGGGCACTTAGTAGCTCAAAATATTATTAATAAAAAAAAGGTGTGAAACTGTGCTATGTAATATCAAGAGAGCACGTGGGCTGAGAACTATCTGAACTGATATATTGAGAAAAAATAAGGAAAAAATCTCCCTGAACTGGCATGTTTCTTATGGGTTTTTTTGTTTGTTTGTTTGTTTGTTTGTTTTCCCCCAGAGACCAGTCATATGCTTTTCATATAAAACACTGCTATTGATAAGTGTTTTTTGACAAGTTTGGCCAATTTGTCAAATGAGGACAAAGCAGTAATTGAGAATAACCAGGAAAATGGGCAATAAGGGCTGACTGAAAAAAAAATATATATTTTATAAATCAATGAAAGACTGTTTCACTACTGAGTGCCCCCTGAAAAGGTTGGGGAATACAGCATGTAAATAACTTCCAGTGAGCTCTTACAATGATGCAGCATCAGAAATGCCAGGGATATGGTCTTAGCCAAGAGAAGCAGAGGAACAGTAATAAATAGGGATGTTGTTTGAGCTCTGTGTACAGCACAGAGATTGTCACCAGAACACTGTGCTGAGCCCAGAGTCCCCTTTCTGAAAGAACCTGATATGGTGTAAAGAAGAGCTGGGAACCCCACAGTGGGATGAGGAAAATTTCTGGCTGAGGAAAGTGTTGTTCTATGTATAGTTTATAAGAAAAAAAAAAATAAAATTTCCTTTCCATGTATAACTAGCAGGAGAGAAAGGAAAAAAAAAAAATCACAGGGTATCGAAGGACTCCAGACATCTGCAGAGAGACCCAGGAATCCAAAGTGAGAAGCTGAAGCCAACACATTCAAAGCTGGCAGGAAAAAGATGGTTTGTTTTTTTTTTTAACCTTGTGGCTGATTAGCATTGGAACTAAGTAGGAGGTGATCCTGCAAGAGCCTCCTGGTGTTTTCAGATTCGGGTTGGCAGACTCTGTAGACAAGGTGCTTTTAGCAAAGCCATAACATTTTGATGGGTGAAGTGTCTCGCTCCTCTTTTCCCAGTGTTTTCCTAGGAGTGATGCTTCCCTTCATCAGTTGCACCCACGGAGCTTGCTCCCATCTTCTGTGCTGGAGCATCTGCCTACAGCAGAGAAAATAAAAAGCATGTGGGGAAAACAGAAAACTGGGTAAATATGGAGGAAAATATGACCAGTCCACTTCTATTTGCATAAAGGGAAAAAAAAAACCCCAAAACAAAGCCAACAAAAAAACAGAAGAAACAAGAGGTGGAGCACTTGGAGAGGTCCATAACAACCCTTTTGTGTTGAAGTCTTGTGTTGAGCACTTGAAGTCCCTCCTCCTCTTCTTTCCTTGGCCATTTTTTGAGTGCACTGGTTGACCTTTCCCATGGTAAAAGAGAGGATCCCAAAAACACACATATGGAATTACACACGAAATATTATCAAGAGGGCACCAAAGTCATCACCTTATGATGCTGGAAACTGAATCCTTAGACCCTATTTGTTTTTTTAAGGAGAAACCAGGAGGTTTTCTAACTTCACCAAACACATTGGTAGTGTGGAACCAGAGCTGGCGTTTTAGGGGCATTTCAACAGCAATATTGTAATGCAGTTTAATGCAAATGTTTGCCACTGAGCTAAAGCGTAGTGTAGTATTGTGTGATTCATGAATCATCAGCTCTTTCTTGTTTTTCTTGCTGATGAAGTTCCCTTCTGGAAATGCCAACCCTTAGCTGTGTACCTGCCCCAGGCGTCGTGGCTGAGTGAGCCAGGACTGACAGGCTGAGAACTGCTGTTACACTGATGATTAATATTTTAATTTTTCCTCTTTCTTTGATCTTAAGTTTCAGGATTTAAAATTTCTGTGTCTATTGAAGAGAGTCCAGAGATGCTGGAGACAAATGCACATGGTCATATAATTCACATTTATAGAATTAATAGAAATCTTCCAAATTCAAACTGGCAAAGGCAGTTTTTCTCTTAATTTGTAGCCTAGCTTTAATACAAAACTATCTGGGATTAAATGGAACTTAAATGGAGCCACAACTCTTTCTCACAGGTGGTTCATCTTCCTATATTCTACCAGGTGTAAAGGATTAATGTGGATTAACTCTTGTAATCTTGGATATTAGGAAGAATTTCTTTGCTGAAAGGGTTCTGAGGCATTGGCAGGGGTTGCCCAGGGCAGTGGTGGAGTCCCCATCCCTGGAGGGATTGAAGAGTCGTGTAGACACAGTGCTGAGGGACATGGGTTAGTCAGGGACTTGGCAGTGTTGGGTTCATGGTTGGACTCGATGACCTTAGAGGTCTTTTCCAAACTTAATGACTCTATGATAATCCAAATTATGTCTATTCTTTTAATCTAGTAGATGAATCAAGTATATGGAGACATCTCACCAACTGCTGAGGTGTTTGTCCATTAATTCTTGGACCTTCTGATTACATTTCTTAACCATGTAAACATTTATTTGTCAAATAGCAGTGATCTTCAAAAAAAAAAACAAACCAGCCTTCAGCATCTCAGCTGTAGTGGCATTCCCATTGAATTAACTCTATTTTTTATTTGTATAATTAATTAATAATTAATTCCATTGGGTATGGGAGTATATATTACAGTAATAAGAATTAGGTAATCAACTGTAAAAAAAGCCACGCTTCTGACAAATATTAATTCATTCTCTTCAGCCTCACCAACAAAAGAATAAATGCACGAACAAATTAGTAAAAAAATACACTTTACATAGATGGTTGCACAGTATTTATTTTCTTGTGGACTTCTTTGTTGCTCAGAGAAGTCCAACGTAGCACTAGACAATGAAAAGCCCTGGTGTGTACCTGGGAAGTTACTCAACCCTTTGGAATATGCTTCACCAAGTACAATAATCCAATATATACTCTTCCTTCCATGACTTTGGAGGAAAAAGCTCCTTGGACATATTGCAGGTAGCTATATTCCTGTCTCTAATTAAATGCTTTGATGTAGCCGTCAGAGGCTTTTATTTCTTTATACTTTTTAATTTACATGCCAATCTCCAGCAGGCTTTCTGTACCATTCCCAGTCCATCTGCACTGCTGCTTCCACACTCTCCAGCCTCTGCTTTAGATGACGGGAAAACCATGATCTCATCGTCAGCTGCTGAATCTCTCCTGCAAGAAATATCACATTAGGGCAAGATTTAAGTGAGTCCCAAGTATCTCCACGCTCTTCAGGACTCAATCTCACAAACAGCAATAATGCATTTAACTGCTTTGCACATAATAATGATATTATGTGTAAGGAAAGTGAGATCTGAACAGGATCAGAGACTAAAGGCACATCAGCAGTGCTGAGGGTCTTTGCAAACCTCACCATGTCTGCAGGTCCCCAGGCACAGCTCTGACCCATCAGGCTACACCATAACATCAATGTAGTTGTGTCAATCCCACGCTGCAAGCCTAGTTTTCTTTGGATCCTGTTGTTAAATCCTCTTTTTTTTAAGTATTCTTAGCATAGAATATTCATGTTCCTTTCTCTTGTAACTGAAGTTATGTCTTCTTGCTGCTACAGATCCCTTAATCCTCTTCTCACGCTGCGCACTTCTTGCAAAGCCTGGTAGTTGTTGCCTTGAGGTGGGATTTTCCCAATCATCTCTGTTGAAAAAGCTGGCCTGTGTGTGGTTCCAGTCACTCATCACCCTTGCATCTTAGCTACACCCTTGTGTCCTTTGTGCATGTGTACCTTCACATTCCCACCCAGCTCTGCGGGTGGGAGGAACTCCCAAACCCCCATGGGGCCGCCTGTCCCCATCCCCACAGGGACCTTCCACCCCCCAGGACCCTGGTCCCCTGTACTGAGTCTGGCTGGGATGGAGTTGATTTTCCCCATAGCAGCTCTCATAGTGTTGGGGTTTGTATTGGCAGCTGGAAAAGTGTTGTTGACACACCAGTGTTTTGGTTCCTGCGGAGCAGTGCTCCCTGAGTAAGCTGGGGGTGGGCAAGATCTTGGGAGGGGACACAGCCAGGACAGCTGACCCAAGCTGACCAAAGGGATATTCCATGCCATGTGTACACTTCTGCTCAGAAAGAAAAGCAAGGAGAATGGAGGGGGAAGGGAGGGCATTTTTTATTTATCTTTGTCCTCCAGAGTAACTGCTACGCGTACGAAGCCCTGCTTCCCGGGGAGTGGCCAGACATCGCCTGCTGGTGGGAATTAGAGAATAAATATTTTGTTCTTCCTTTGCTTCCATGCCCAACCTTTGCTTTTGCTTTGTTAAACTGCCTTTATCTCGACCCATGAGTTTGTTGGGTTTTTTTCCCCCCATCTTATTTTCTCCCATCTCCATCCTGTTGAAGACGGGGGTGATAGAGCATCTTGGTGGGCACCTGGCATCCAGCCAAGGGGTTAGCCCACCACATCTTCCCACACCCTCCCCTCACCAGCTCCTGGCTTGTCCTCTAGGTTTGCAGCTGGAGAAGCTGTGACGCCAGCCAGCTCCCTCTCCAAATCCTTGTTCACCTTCTCAGATATTTTGTGGTTGTTTTCCAAATCATTGGTTTCTTTTGATCAAAGCTCTGGCCTTTGTACAAAGCCTCTATTATCTGCAGTAACTACTTTTTTTCCTTGATTTCCTTGATCTACAGGCTCTGTAGGTGTACCACAATATCTAAGCATCATCAGGAGATGACAAAAACCTGGTCTATTTAAACTGTCAAAATTTCTCTTCAGATCCTTTCTCTGTCAGCAGCATCAGCTTTATCCGGTGGCTAATTTGGAGGATAATTTCTCTGGCATTTAAAAACTGAGCTGTTTTCCTCACTCAGCTTCTGTTATTTATACTAAATTGTGCACTATTTTGTGGCTTTGGGATATTTTTTTTTTTCCACACTCTTGTTTTAAGTACTGGGGCAAGTAGTTTCTTTTTGGGGGGTAGCATGAAGGCGGGGTGCAGGAGGAGACGTCTGTGTCTCCTTGTTTATGTTAAGTGTATGTGTGGTGCTATATGTATCTTAACATATATACTAAGCAAAGTTTTCTTGCTCATGTTAAAAAATATGTATTTTTTAATGTATGTGAATATTTATACACTACACATGCACAATGTTAAAAATACATAATTTGTATATATATGTAAATAAATATACACTATTTTTATATAAATATAAATATTTTAACACTACACACAGTGTTAAAATATTTATATTTTATATAGATATATGTAAATAAATACATATACACTACACACAGTATTAAAATATATTTTATATAGATATATGTAAATAAATACATATACACTACACACAGTATTAAAATATATTTTATATAGATATATGTAAATAAATACATATACACTACACACACACACAATGTTAAAATATCTATATTTTGTATAGATATCTGTAAATAAATATACTTACACCATCCACACACAATGTGTATGTCTATATGTACATTAAAGATAGATGCTGAAACAGTCACCTATACAATCTGGAAAGAAGAGCTGGTCAAATATTATTCAATCCCCAGGCTACTCAATTAACGCCGCCACCCTCAAGCTGTTCGTTTGTCCATTTTAAATGTGACGAGATATTTTGATGAATGCATCTGGAAGTGTTCAAGTAGCAAACCAGAAATGCTCCTTTACAAAATACCCTTTTTTTTTGCTGTAAAAATGATCTCTCCCAGCAAAGCTGGGGGTGCTCGGAGTGCAGGTTAGACTCTGGATTTACGCTTCGGATTTAATTTAATTTATTAGTGGGACATGGAGGAGGACTCGGTGCAGCAGGGTGAGCTCCTGGAGCCTGTGGGTACCTGGAGGAGCCCACGGACATCGATGCTGCAGTGGAAGGCATTGCCCCTGGTTGCCTCCTCTCTCCTCATCATCACCCCCAGCAGCATTTTAATGGGCAGTGACGTCTGGAAGCAGAACAGGGATGGGGGTTGCTGCAACGGGATGTCTCTGCCTATTTGCTCCTCACCAGGGTGGTCCCAGGGGGATGGATTTGATCCATCAGCAGCTCATGGAGACCAGCACCTGCCTTCAGCCAGCCTCCAGCATCCCCTTGCAGAGGCTGCCCTGTCTCTGGTTTGTCTGCAGATGCGAGGCGAGCATCGCCAAGCTGTCGGGAGACATCAGCATCCTCAGGTGTGAGGCCCAGAGGGCTGAGAAAGAGATCTGTGGCCTTCACTCTGCCCTCAAAAGTTGTGTGAGTGATTTTGAGAAGAAGGTGAGTAGAGAAACCAACAGTGGAATACCTGGTGAGTGGTGACTATACATATGTATAGGTATAGATGGAGACAGAGATATAGATATAGATATAAATTATATGTTATATAGATACAGATATAGACATAGACATAGATACAGATATAGATATATAGATACAGATATAGATATAGATTAGATATAGATATAGATATAGATATAGACATAGCCATAGATATATAGATAGATATATAGATTAGATATAGATACATAGATGATATAGATATAGATATAGACATAGATATAGATATAGATATAGATATAGATATAGATATAGATATAGATATGGATATATAAACACAGATATAGATATATAGATACAGATATAGATTAAATATAGATAGAGATAGAGATATATAGACACAGATGTAGATATATGATATAGATATAGATATAGATATATAGATACAGATCTAGATTAGATATAGATATGGATATAGATATAGATCTTCCTTTCCTAATTGCTGATCATTTTTAAAGACCGATACGGTATTTATTCAATATGTCAAAAAAATTTTTTAACTAAAAAAAGTAAGTTTTCTGTGATACTACACACTCAACCTTAACCAAAAGGCCAAGAAGCGATAAGATTGGATGTGAGGAAGAATTTCTTTGCTGCAAGGGTTCTGAGGCATTGGAAGGGGTTGCCCAGGGCAGTGGTGGAGTCCCCATCCCTGGAGGGATTTAAAAGAAGAGTAGATGTGGCCCTTAGGGACACAGTTTAGTGGGGACAGTGGTGTTGGGTTGATGGTTGGACTTGATGATCTTAGAGGTCTTTTCTGACTTTATTGATACTGTGACACTATGGAGTGGCAGTGGCATTTGTAATAGTTGTAAGGTAATAACAGATAATTAAAACATTGCAGGATCTGGGGACCCTCAGATCATCAGTGACACATTACAGGTTCCCAATATAATTTATAAGATCCTTGAACTCATAAGACCTTGACTCTGCTTCAAGTGCAACTGGAAATTTCAGTTGTTGGCATTTTGGAGCTAAAAAAGGCCTTTCTAAATGTGCTGTGTTTTCTATATTTGTAAGGTGATGGAGGGTGGCAGGTAATAGCATGTCACCTCCAACTCCATATTAATTTTGGCAGTATTTCTAAGGCTTTTTAAAGTTTAACAATGAAAAAGGTTTGAAAAAAGCTGTTTTCTGTCAGAATGTTGTTGGTTTTTTTCCTCCGTGGAGTAGGTTAACCAACAGCAGACAACTGCTACCACTGCCTCTTATTCCTCATAGCTAAGGAGGTCCACTATGCTCTGTAGCAGTTTTGAAGCCTCTAGCAGCAGTTGGGAGCATTAGAATCATAGAATCATAGAAAGTTGTGAGTTGGAAGGGACCCACAAGGATCATCGAGTCATATTTCAGAAGAATACAGCTGTACTGGAAAAATTCAGTTTTCTAAACCCACAGCACAATGGCTCTCTGCTTCTGCTCCCAACCAGACATCACCAGTGTCTGCCAGGATTGAGCAGATATAGGACATTGAATTTTTCATGCACTCTGGTACTTTATATAATCTCATCACTGTGTTTTGACTGCAACTCTGCCGCACAAGGCACCGTGCCAGTCGTCAAGTATCTTGCCTACGCAAGGTCCTCTATCAAGGAAAAACTACCCATGACAGAACTTAAATAAAGATATCTTACCTGGAATTCTGGTAAAAGACACTGTTTGGACATCTGTCTCCTTGAATATGTATGAAAAATATTCTATTTCACCTGGAAATGGGGAATGGAGCAGGTGTGAATGTCAGACTCACACGAAACAGGACACAAAATCACGTAAAAATAAGTCAGGGTAGACATTGAGCAGGATGCAGAATAAACTTCCTCAGCTGAAAAAGCAAAAAATTATTCTCACATGATTGTAAGAAAGAAAAAAGGGAAGGATTTCTGAGAAGTCAGGTTGCTGTACAGGAAGAAGGTACCAGATCAATGTCATGAGTCTTCAGTGGCACCTTTTTGACACTGATGTGCCACAGATACCAAACAGGTGGTGGCATCTCCTCGCCAGAAATTCTTTCATGCTCAATTGTTGTAAAAGCTTTGAAGAAAACTGATGGGATTTCACGTATCTATTAATTATTAATTAACCAGGGGTAGGGAGGTTGAATCCCAAATCCCTTACATCAGACTGCCCTTCACGATCAAGTGTTTACTTGCAGGTTGCACAGAGTGTGAAATGGGTTTGTGGTGGCTTCCAGTCTCCTGAGTCACTCACACTCCATCTTCCAGAGGCACATGGGCATCCAGCTTCTCTTGAAATAACAGACACAGTTGCTGGAGCATCCACAGTGTTTCCAAGCTGCTCCACTGCACTGCATCTCCAATGTGTTGGGAGACCTTGATGTCCCACTTTCACACTACCTGTGAGGTGCAAAGACATGCATTTGTAGATGATGGACCAGCAGCTCAGGGCCCTGGCTTGCCAGACCCTCAAGTGCTGAAATAACAACTCTCAGATGGGACATTTCCAGCTTTTCTGGCCCATTGTGCCCCATGAGGTCAGGCTACCACAACAAAAGAGGAGTGCACGTGTGTCCATCCCCACAGGATGTGAGGTGCTTGGCTTCACTTCATGACTCCACCTTGTTCTCTGCATCCCAGATGAGGGACCCCAGCCCACAAGTCAAGTTGGTGAACCAATCTCTCTTGCCCTTGCCCTAAAAAAGGAATGAGCCTGTGAAAGGAGCATCTTCAACCAAAAAAAGTGTGGGAGAGCATCAGGTTCTGGGAGCATCCCCGAGTCTAGAGAGCATGGGGCTGTGCAGACACACACCCCAACCCAGACACCAAAGGGGAGGCAGATCCTTTGAACAAGGTCCCCCAGGTGCCACCTTAGTCCTGCAGCCACCAAAGTATTCAATATCATGGGTGGACCTCTCCTCCCTTCACTCTTCTTGGGGTCCTGTTGGGTGTTGGACAGCCAACATTTGGACAGCCAACACTTGGGCAGCCAACACGCATCTGCTCTCAAGGATTTGTCCCTTGGTTCCTGCCACCATTGAGGAGATTTGGGAGATGCCAGCACCTTGTTCAAACACATAGAGTGTTGCTTACCCCTGCATGTAATAGCAAACCTGCATCCACAAAGACTTGACTTCAGCAGGTCTTACAGCCTTGGTGACTCTGAGCTCAAGTCTTCAGTCTTTACTGAAGTATTGGTGAGAAAAGTTCATTTTTTATAATTTTTTAAATTGGATGTCAGCTGGGTTTTTTTTCCATGTTTGCAATCATAATGCATATTTAAATGTAAGTAAGTGCTGATAGTCTCTCCTCAAAAAAGTGTTCTCTGTTGGATCCTCATTAGGTAATGCAGCTATTAGGCAAGATAGAGACTTCCAACTCTGACCAAAGCTCGAATTTAAAGACAGTCCAGGGAGATCAGCATCACGAACTGCAACTTCTGGATTTCAAGTAGGTGATGGAGGGTTTTCATTATGATAATTCACCTTCAATGCTTTAGTGTGATGAAGAGGTTGCCATGAAACAGCAAAACAAACCCATTAATTAACATCTATTCAAAACACTAAGAGAAGGTTAATGAAGATCCATGCTATAAAATAATGAAAATCCATAATGAAAGTGTGTTGTCTTGCAAGTTAATTGTTAAAATGAGGTGCTAAATGCCACCTTGTAAGAAGAAAGATATAAAACCAATTAACTCTCCGTATTTAAAAGAAAGGCACCAAATACAAAGATGCTATTTACCATTATAATTTGGGGTATAATTTATGACTTGCCTAATATGCAGAACAAGACATTTTCTTTATGCATTTGCACCATCCTCCCCAAGCATGAGTGATGCTGATGAGGAGAGGTGGGCACAAGGCTGAAGTAGCTGCACAGCCTCATCTGCCCACAGATTCCTGATTTATTTGTTTCTTATTTAAGCAGTGTGTTTTTCCTGTTCTAGCTGCAAAATTATTTGTAGGGTGCCATTTTAATCCGGATGAGTTTCAGAGAGGAGGAAGCTCCAGGGAAGGATACAATGAACAAAAAAATCTGGTATCTATAGCCAGAAAAATGCAAAGCAGCCCAGCATTGAATAGCAGAGCCAGCACAAATAATTTAAAATCTAATTATAATAACCCTGCAATAATGATATTTCAAAGGCAATAGTTCCACCCCTTAAAATGGTAAAGTATTTGAATAAAGAATTCTTTTAATTAAGATTTTATCTGAATTGTATTCAGAAGTAAAAATAGACTAGAACTTTAAAGAAAATAAAGTTCTTTTCAAGAAAACAGGAAAAGAAATTGGGGTGAGTGGGGAAATAACAGCTAAGGTGGGCAATGAATTAAAACTGGAAAAAAGGGAAAGAAGAACAGGGAGACAGAGAAGGGAGAAGGAATGCTGGGGATGAAGACAATGTGAAAAGGACAAGAAATGAAACCAAAATTAAAGGCAAGGAAAAACAGAACAATGCCAGAAATTGGAAACGGGATTGAAGTAAATGCTAAGTTTCTCAAAAGTTAATAAGAACTTACTGAAATTGTCAACAGAAATAGGAAGCTTGAAAAGAGGTGGCGTTGTGTATTTCACATAAAATCTGAAACACTTATTTACTAAACATTGCAATTTTATTCTAGTTAATATAAAATTTAATTAAAATAACATGCCCTTTGGGGAATGTCTGTCTGCTTTTATATCACTCCTTTAAACTCTACCAGATTTATGTATTCTTTTAATAGAGCTGAAATAAAATTTAACTTCTGGAACAGAGTGGAGCTTGCCCATAAAACTTGGCTTGTTTAAATCAGTTTTAAATCCCAGAGTTACCTCTTCAGTTGTTGTGCAGCTGCCTGGGACCCAGCAGTCTCCAACTGTGGGCTGGCAGTTGTATTGTGAAAGTATAAACTGATAATTGTTACTGAAAAACAGATGTATTTTAAACATATTTCACGATTCCCTGAGTGTTTTGCCTTGAAATTTGTCCCTTCACAGTTGGGGAAGTGGATGTTTATCTCACAGGCTTGGTTGGGTTGGAACAGCTGCATTCAACTGCACAAGAAGTCAATTAAATTGCCAGTAGATTTATTTTCACATGTGAAAATTCATTGTAGTACTACTGGAGTATGCTCTTATTAAGTATCCACAAGTATCCCCTTATTTATATTTGGGGGGCTTTGCTGGGTCAAGTACTGTGGCAAATCATCTGCCTCTGGAGCTTCACTCCTGCTAGACATATTTTTGTAAGCTCCATGAAGGAGGGATGCTAATTGAAGAAAGTTTAAAATAAATAAAACATGGTCCTGGTTTATTATTAATAAGAAATAACCCATGTTACAACATAAAATATTAATATTAACAATAATAACAATTGTATTATTAATCATCATCTTGTCACTTTCAAGTGTGTCCCTTGGGGACAGCCGCCTTCATCTTCCTCAGAGCCACACACTGTCTGTGGCTCACAGGATTTGTGTCCCAAAGAGACTCTTGTGATCATTTGGTCTGAATCACGCTGGCCACATAACCTCACGTCACTCCTAGTGTGGTTCATGCCAGTCATTCTCAGTATTTGTTAAATAACTTCATAAAAAGTCAATTATTTCTGCAGTTCTCCCCAAGGAAGGCTTTGCCAAATCTTTTCCGAGTTGCCTAAGCTCAGTGTGAAATAATTAATTTTAAAAATTAAATATTTTAATTATTTAAATTTTAAAATACCCTTCTTCCTCCTTTTCCAACCTTGGAGAAACCAGAGCAAAGCCAAATGCCAACTGCCAACTACGTGAAGTTTGATTTTGAGCCTTTGGACAAAGTTGACCTTCATTTCTGTCATTCATGGTTAATTCATCTTCATCCATTAAAATTATATTCCCCCAAGTTCATTCAGTAATCTTTACACAAGCAATGGCATGAGATATTTGTTTTATGCCTGATGGACTAAAATATCCTGGTTTTATGTATATATATGTATGAGAAAATATCCACATGCAATATCAGCCTGAGGAGGTTCCCAGTCCTGTAATCACCTGCTGTGGTGGCTTTGACTGTGAGATATCTTCATCCCTACGTGACCTTCCATCCCTTGCAGAACTGGGTTTGGATGACAATTCCTGTTATTCCCCAGAAAAGCTCATTATACCTCACCTTCCCCTGCTCAGGTTGAGCATTGCTCCATATCACCAGCACCATATCACTATTTAATTCTATTTTCAACAAGGATTAGTGCTCCAGGAAGCAAAGGCTGTGAGCATGTTCGTGTGTGGGTGGTAGGACTGTACGTGATAAACTCAGTACTTTGGGTTCTTATTCTTGAAAAATAAAACCTTTAGAACTACTAAAATGAGTGATGGTGGCAAACTGACCTACTTGTCTAGAAGATCTTGAAAAGACAGTGCAGCAAACTGCAGCATTATATCACTTGGAGAGATTTTGCTATCATTAGGGGTTTTTTTTTAACACATTTACAGTGACTGCTGATGGCAATTATCACTTCATTAGACTGATACAAAGCTGTAAAATTGATATTAAAAAACCCACTTTCACTCAAACATCCATTAGAAAAGATATATTAAATATTAGAAGTGTTGTAAGCATTGTCTAGTTATAAAACCCTGCTCCTTACCTGTTGGTTTTTATCCAAACAAATTTCGAGTGATTATTGTTTGCATGCAAGGACTTTAGGGATTAATAAATTCAATTTTTTTCATGACACTCCTACAGTTAGAGCGTATCCATAAGCATGAAAACTGATATATACAACTACAACTTGGACCTAAATCCACGCCTGGTCATGGTTCATGCCCTAAATCAGACATTGCAGCGTAAGAAAAGCAAAATCTAAACCACACAGTTTAACTTGGTGTTCTGCAGATTCGACATGAGCAGCCTTCCTTCACCACTCTTCCCCCTGGTTCCCTGTCTGCTCTTTTCCCTTTGGGTGGGATTTCACATTTCTATCCAACTTCTGCCCCAAAGGCAACTCCCCAATCACTTTTTGTTTGTAGTCTTTTGGTTGTAAACTTTTTTAATCCTTATGAACTTTGATTTCAGAGCACAGGTGATTTCGCTGCTCTCCCTGGTGCCCAGCAATGCAGTTGACATTCAGTTGGATAGTGTGGTTTCTTCATCTACTTTGAATAGACTTAATTCAAATGGGAAATTAACATTTTTCATCACTCAGATATTTTTCTAAAGTAGACCACACTACAAAAATCACATTTTGACATGTAGGTACAACCTTCAAGATAAGGATTAATAAAATAATTGAGCTTAGGGCTTGTTAGGAAGCTGTTGAGGAGATTTGGAGTAATTTAAACAATTTACTCAAGTCACTCAAGGTTCCCCCATAACACTGACTAAACCTTGGTCTTGATACTAAAAAAATAATTGTAATCTCCTTCTCCTGACACCCCACTTGCAGTGCTGCCTCCAGTGCTGGGGCCACCAACAGCACAAGGACATGGAGCTACTGGAGCCAGTGCAGAGACAGCCACCAGGATGATGCGAGGGCTGGAGCAGCTCTGCTGTGAGGACAGGCTGAGAGAGTTGGGGCTGTTCAGCCTGGAGAAGAGAAGGCTCCAGGGAGACCTTCTAGTGGCCTCCCAGTACCTGAAGGGGCTCCAGGAAGGCTGGGGAGGGACTTTGGCCAAGGGCAGGGAGTGACAGAACAAGGGGTGATGGCTTGAAAGTGTCAGAGGGGAGATGGAGCTGAGATGTGAGGAAGGAATTCTTTGGTGTGAGGGTGGTGAGACCCTGGCCCAGGTTGGCCAGAGAAGCTGTTGCTGCTCCTCCCTGGAAGTGTTTGTGGCCAGGTTGGATGAGGCTTTGAGCAACCTGGTCTAGTGGAAGGTGTCCCTGCTGCTGGCAGGGGGGTTGGAACTGGATGAGCTTTAAGGTCCCTCCCAACCCAAAATGATTCTGTGATTCTATGACTTTAGGTTGACAACTATTGTAAGTGACTTCAGGGATCAGATACAGACTCATCGGAAATGGACAGAAGTGCAGCTGACACGGACTGAAGAAGATCAAGCTCAGCACAGGCATCAGCTGCTTAACTTGGTGAAGGAGAGACTGGTAAGACTTTCCAGGACAGGAGCCTGGGGCACTGGGGTGGCCTCCAGTCCTCCCAGCAGTGGGAGTGAGAAGCACCACTCACATTGACTTGATCCTACAGGTACCAACTCACACACAGAAAAAACAAGACCTAACACAAAACCAGGCGCCTCAGAACACGGCCAGCAAAATGATGAGTTATGGAAATCATGTAATTGTAGAGTAATTAATTCTGGAAGGGATATCTGTAAGTCATAAGGGTCAACCCTTCACTCAAACGGGGCCAACAGCAAAGTCATGGCTCAAGCTCATCCAAGTGGTTTTTGTTTCTGAGGATGGAGATCCTACAATGCCCTGGGCATCCTGGAAAATAAAATATTTCCTGATTATGGCACCACCTGACATTTGTGCCACCCTGATGTACCCTACAATGGCATCTTCCCATCCCATGGTGCCACCACTGAACACCTCCCAGCCTCGCTCATGGACAAGCTCAGAAAAGGAAGGGATCATCTACCCTAATTTTGCCCAATTTTAAACAAAAAATCTCACCATCCTGCGGTCAGCACATTAAGACGTGGTGTGTTTTGGTTCCACAGCAGCAATCAGCACTTGGCACAGGATCAATGCCCCTTAATTAGCTCCTTCCCAGCTTTTCCAGCTTTTCCCCCTTTGCTGTGAGCAGTTGGTTCTGCTGCAGAAGAGTTCAGAAGCGATGGACACACAATCACCGCGTCTTAGTGCCAGGATGAAGGCTGCTGATCAAAGATTTCAGAAGTTGCCTGGAACTAAAACATTCTTGAACTCCAATCTCCATTTATCCTGCCTGATGAGAATCTCTCATAATCAACCAACACTCAGTGCAGCCAGGAAGATTGTAAAAACATTTCTGATGTGCCAGCCTCTGTCCCAAAGCTACTGCTTGAATTCCCTCCCTCTGCTAATAGTTTTTGTGATTATTTTGCAGAAAATTCACCAATGTATCTGGCTACTCTCCCCTAAGGGAGACTGCTGTGCCAAAAAGTACAGCGTTAACAGGAGTTAGAGCTTTCAAAGCCACTCTGAAGTAGGTTGGATAAGGAGAGGATATGTGTTTTTCCATAGGCACCCATGTACAGACCGGCATGCACAGTGCTTGGAGCAGCTGGTGGTCCTCTGGACATCATCTCAGTGGAAGCACAGCTCAGTCCCTGGGAGCTGGAGGAAACCTCAGCACAAACACTGCAGATAAAGCAGTCAGAGATAAGCTTCAACCAGCTCTTGTTGCTGCTCAGCAGTGGGCACTGGCAGCATGGGCAGCTGCCTTCAGCACTGGTCCTGTATATGACCCATCATCAGGCTGAGACCACACGTCAAGAGCTGTGCTGAGCTTAAAAAGAGAGAGAGGACTTCTTGCCATCTGTAGGAGTTTAACTTGCCTGGCAGCCAAACACCACGCAGCCGCTCGCACACCCCTCACCCAGGGCATAGGGGAGAGAATTGGAGGGGTAAAGGTGAGAAGACTTGTAGGTTGGGATAAGAACAATTTAATAATTGGAGTAAAATAAAATAGTAGTTATAATAATAATCATAATTATAATTAATGATAATAATATATATAAAAATGAGTACAGTACAATTGCTCACCACCCACCAGGTAACAACCCTGGAAGAGCAAAAAGAAAAATGGCAGAATGAGCCCAACTGATTCCCAAGAGAATCTTCCAGCTTTCCAGTCAACCCTGGTTAATATACTGACCATGATGGGGTATGATATGGAATATCTCATTGACATATTCAAATGCCAATTTCGGGTTTGCTAATTACTGCACTTCCCCCCTCCCAGTCCTTTGCACTTGCAGAGCAGCAAAACATGAAGTCCTTGGACTTCCAGCAGCAACTAAAAACATCAGTGTGTTATCAACATTCTTCTCATAACAAATCCCATATTGTAACCAATACCCAGTGCTTTCTAGCTACCAAAAGAAAAGATTAACTCTACCCTAGCAAAACCAGGACACCTTCCCTCAGGCAGCTCTTACAGGGCTCAGCCTCTTTACTCAGGCTGGCAGCTGAGCTGGGTTTACACCACAGCATTGTGCTCCTTAGAAAAAGAAAATTGGGCTTGAGATCAGCACATGAAAGTAACCTGAAATGGGTTGTTTGAGTTCCCAATCTGTTCTTGCAAGGTGTGACAGCAAATCACTGGATTTCAAATTAATTAATAAATAAACTAATAGTTTAAATAGCACCTTTGTCCCAGCCCATCTCCTCTTTCCCAGTTTGGTTGGTTGGTTGGGGAAGAGGGGGTTGGCTCATCCTTCAGGGTACCAGACCTCACCTGCATTTATTCAGTGCTGCCACACATGGGATTAGGAAGCGAGACTGAGAGAACGCACAGTTGGCAGGTTAATGTGAGCATATTTAAAAATGTCTTACCTGTGTTCTGTATTTAAAGGAAAGAGCAGAAAAAAGAGTAGAAGAAAAGCTCCTCCTTCTGTCACTGAAGCTGGAACAAATGGATAAACCGCAGAAATACGAAAAACAGTTGAACCAGATGAAAAGAGAGGAAAAAAACCTGCATGCAAGAATGACTGGGTTTGAAAAAGAGATCTGGAATGAGCTTGAGGAAATCCAGAACGAATACAGATCAGGTGAGGATAGGCTTTCATGCAATTTATTTTTAAAATACATTTCTACAGCAACTCAATGCTCCAGAAAATACTTCCCAGTATAGACAGAAAGACATTGAAATGACTGTTTCTCTCTCCCAAACCCCATTTAATTAATTAATAAATTTAATTACAGAGGTGTATGGGTTAGCCCACTTCTCTTTGCAAACAGCCAGCATGACACTTGCACACAGGTTGCTTTCTCTTCCTCAGGGTCTCAAGGTAAGATAATTTAAAATAAAATCTCACAACCTGTTTTCCAGATTTTTTAGAGTACCTGATTCCTCTGTTAGCGAGGTCACCACCCTCCTTTGGGAGGAACAAGTCATTCCCTTTTGCACTGATCCTGTTGCTGAGAAAGTGTTTGATGGTTTGGTGTTGTGGTGGTTTCACCCACAGCTCAGACCAGGGGGTCCTGCTCTCACTCCCCCAACTCGGTGAGATGGGGAGAGAAACACAGCAAAGGGTTGGTGGGTTGGGATGAGGACAGGGAGGGTCACTCACCAGTGATGGTCACGGGCAAAACAGACTCCACTTGGGGAAGAAAAGTCAATTTAATTCATTCCCAATCAATCAGAGTAGGACAGTGAGACACAACAACCACATCTGACAACACCTTCCCCCACCCCTCCCTTCTTCCCGGGCTCCCATCACTTTGCTCCCCATTTCTCTCCCTTCCCCCCCAGCAGCACAGGGACAGGGAATGGGGGTTCAGTCCGGTCACCTCTGCTGCTCTTCCCAGCATGGAAATCCAGGAACAAGATGTTCCAGAGCAGCTTCCCATGGAG